ATCTATTTCAGTGCAGTATACACAATTTATCCAGTTTTTCTCAGTCTTACCCCAACCCTGATATCAATCCCATTTTACAACAGTGGCACCATGCACTATTTGTCCTTTTGTGACTGAGATATTTCACTCATCATAATGTTTCTAAAGCACTGGTCTTGTGCTTCTTAGGAGCTCTGGTGGCCTAGTGGCAGGAAGCTGCACTGCAATCCCAGAGGCACGTGGTTGGAGCTGCTCTGCGGGAGAAGGACCGGCAGTCTCCTCCCGTGCAATTAACTGCCTCTGAAAACCCACTGGAGGGTCAGGCATGGATTGGTTCTGACTCTATGGTACATCACCACCACAACAATGAAAACTTATTTTTCTTAATGATTTTATTCATTATGAGGGAGCTCTGGTGACCTAGTGGCAAGAAGGAGTGCTGCAATTCAGAAGGCACAAGGTTCGAATCCTCCAGCTACTCTGTGGGAGAAGGACGGAAATCTCCCGTGTGATGAACTGCCCCTGAAAACCTGCCAGAGGGTCAGCTATGGGTCGGTTCTGACTCTACGGTACACAGCAGCAACAACAACGACAACAACAATGACTTCCTATAGCATAGACATTATCCACCTTCCTTTTACAGAAGCAAGAGCTGATATGTTATGTGACTTGCCAACATCTATTGATTCCTTACTTCACTGACTTCATCATTACTCTATGTTGCTTTTTGATTACTAGCTGTGAGGCTTAGGATAATTAGTTAACATTTCTAAGGCTCATTTTTTGACAGGGAAAGTGGAACCAAATAATACTTCCTCTCCAGTGCTGTAATGAAGAATATTACTCTATTATTGCCACTGAGTTCAGGCTTGTAACTGATCCTCGATCAGGTTTTCAAGGCTGTAAATCACACTGGAGGAGACAGTCGCCATCTTTCTTCCTCAGAGGAGCCAGGCCACTGGGTTATTTATTATATTTATTATATTTATTATATTTATTATATTTATTATATTTATTATATTCACTGGAGCTCTCTAAGATTAAGGGGTTATGGACAATAGCAAAAAAGAAAATGTAGTCAATATTTTAAAAAGATAATTATCTTTAAAGTCCCTTCTGGGTCTACAAAATTGCCTGGCATGAGAATATCCATTACTGGCACCATTGATTTGATTGTTGAAATGATTATGTAAATAGAGAAGCACAACATATTAAAAGATGCATGCACACACACATATGCAAACATGCCACATCACCAGAAGACTGGGGTCTGATAACAAATTTATGGCTCTCCAAACAATATCACTAAAGTCATACTTACCTTTGGCTTGCTCAACTTGGGGCATCTGGGAGGCATGTTACAGTTCCCACAATCGCCCTAGTATGAAAGAACAGAAACACTTAATGATCAACAGTGGAGGAATTAGGAAAGACCCAACGGGGACATGAAAAGATGGGGTTAACAGTGGACATAGGTCAATGGGGATCAAGTTTATAAAACAATGTATATGAATGATGTATGAAACACCATGCACATGAATGAAATACAATGTACAAACCAATGCACAATGTCTGCAAGCCAATACAATATTTAAAAAAAAGAGTATTGGGAAAAAACCCCAAGAAGATATTGTGGGATAAGTCCTTGATACATTGTTGAAGAACTTAATCTTGATTAAGTTTAGACTATGATCAAGAATATAAGAATAAAATACTCTGGGACTTTGTCATGGATAATAACAAAAGTTTGTCTTGGCCTTTAATTCCTTATTGTAGTTCTTTGATGGTACAAACGACCTGTTCTGAAGAGCAGGACTCACGCAGTGTTAGGCAGATGTATTGTATAACGCTGGTGAGCAATGTGGTTATGTATGCCAGTTTCATTCTGACTTAGTTGTGATACTTTTGGTCAATCACTGGTACTATTTGATCCTTAGTGTTATGATACATTAAACCAACATAATAATAACTTTGCTTCTATTTTATTTTCAGGGAATTGTTAAGGGAGGAGAGATGGGAAAAAATGTGTGTTAATATACTTCAGAAATTATGAGGAAAGAGACCATTGGTTGCAACTCTTCCATTGGCTGACTGCTCTTCTACCAATTGGGGTCACTGACTGTGTACCTATCAGGCACATGGGCCACACAAAGTCACATTAAACAAAGAATTGACCATAACTACTTGCTAGATTATTAAGGGGCAAAACAGGCATCGTGAGAAAATACCTGCTCCATAGGTGATGCTCAGTAAAGTGGCCTCTGGATGAATGGATGAGTGTGAAATGTTGAAATGCACAGCCCAACACAGATGCTCAGTCAGTGTTGCTGAATGACCATATAAAGGAATGGACGCATAGTGGCATCTGCTAGGTTGAATCATACGAAAGTGCCACTTCTGCCTGTCAAAAATGGCAATTCCATAGGGCTTAATCTGGCAAGACAAAGTTATCTCAATACTTTGGGCATGTTGCTAAGAGAGTTATTCCTTGGAGAGGGACTTCATGCTTGGGAAGGGGTGGGGGAGGCGAAGGAGAGGAAGATCTCCAATCAGGTGGACTGACACAATGTGTGACTGCAGCAATGGGCTTGAGGGTGTCAGAGATTGTGAGGTTGGACAGGGTTCAGATCTGTGGTTCACAGGGTCACTTGATGGCACTTAACAAATGGAGAAAAAAAAAAGGTTCTTGGGAAAACGATGTGTGAATGACTGAATGGATAGATATATTTGAAAATAACTCATGGCTGATACCCGTGGACAGGGCAGGCGGATAAATGGGAATCTTCCAGAGCTGTACAGAGCTGAGCAGAGGTTTATTGATTCTAAATCTGAAAAAGACACCATCATATGGCCTCAGACCTCTTGGGTCCTGGGCTCACGGAGGAGGACCAGCCCTTAGGGACTCCAGCCCAGATCTGTGGTTCATGATGGCTGTCCGTTTTTTTTCTTTCTTTTTGTATACTGACCAGGATGTCGATAGAAGTGTAAGTGTCACAGCGACCTCCTAGAGTGGGGTCGATCAGCAGACAGTCGATGCCATAGGCCACACCAAGGTCAAACAGGATCTCCCGTTGCACAATTCTGCATGTTTGGCCATTGAGAAAGAGCTCTCCCTGAAGGGGCAGGGTAGCGTGAGAGAGAGGGAAGTGGGGTAAGAGGGAGGGAGAGAGAGAGAAAGTGAGGGAGAAGGGGGTGAGAGAAAGGGAGAAAGGGAGAGAGAGTGGGAAGAGAAAGGGAGAGAGGGAGGCAGGAAAAGGAGAGGGGGAGAGAGAGATGTCAACAATCCTCCTCAGCGTTCTCTTCCTCCCAAGCCCTATTGTATAACCAATACTTATTAAGACTCAGAGAGAACTGAAAACAAAACCAGCTCCCTCTTTCCCCTAAATTCTAAAACACACACTGAACGCTTGTGATGTACCCGGGACTGTTCCAAGTGCTCAGGATGATGCTACTATTATCACTTTACCCTTTGGTTGTTGCTAGTTTGTCATTGAGTCATCTCTGACCCACGATGACTGTATGTCCAGCAGAATGAACCGCTGCCAGTGACCCCCCCCCCCAAATGCTGGTGTGCCTGACCCATTGTTGGGGTCACCGTGAGAGAGTGCATCTCACAGAGAGTCTCCTTCAATCTTGCTGACCAGCTATCAAGCCTGATGTCCTCTTCCAACAATTGGTCCCTCCTGATGAAACGCCCAAGCTGGAGTCTCACCATGCTCCCTCTCATGACTGAACTTCTTTCATTTTACAGAAAAGGAATCTGAGGCAGTGAGGGGTTAAGAAAGCCGTCCTAGGTCCCACGGCCAGGGGTCGCCACAGGATTCCCAATGCAGGCAGCTGGCCTCTGAGCCCATTTCCTCGACCACCTTGCAACACTCCCCCTCAAAGTTGGAGCACAGGAGCGGGAGAGGACAGTGTGGAGCAGAAATGATTGGCTGTGGTTCAGGATACATTTTGTTGATGTGGCCACTGTATGTGCAGTTTTCTTATTTAGTGCCAGCACCTAGAAAAGTTGTTCACATATGTTCTAAATTATACAAATGATGGACTTTAACTTTACAGTGGTAATAACAATGCCTGTTTTTTCCACATGTATTAAGAGTTGTCCACATGTGAAAAATAGCTCTTAATTTTATCATCACAAAGTTAACTCCCATTAGTTGAATAATTTAGGGTTAGGGTTAGGGTTGGTTAGGGTTAGGCGATAGGGAGATAGTGTGAATTAGGGGGAAGGACAGCTGAAAACTGGTTGAATCCCTGGCACTTCCTCTTACCCACTGTGTAAATATAGGCAAGCCTTTGAACTTCTTGGAGGTTCTCCTTTTTCTACCAGGTAAACAGCCCTTAATGTATAGGGTTATTATAAAGACCAAGCTAACTAGCATATTTCCTAGTGTTCTGAAAACTAAATTGGTGCACAAAGTAAGCCGTGGACATTCTTGTACTCGTTCCGGTCTGTGAAGATAGAACAGCTAATCTCAAGAGTGCAAGTATATTAGGATGATCTTCTAAAAGTGGGAAGGTAAAGATACCAGCAAACATTCTTCAAATGAAATTCTAGTTCAAGCCTCAAAGATCTTCTCATGATGAGCTGTCAGTAGACTATTGTATGAGACTGACTTCTCGGAGGATTCCTTAACAGTAATTGACTCATCTGGGGGCGTGCATTCCTTTTACCTCCTGCCTGGAAAATAGATGTGATGGCTGGATCTCCAGCAATTATTTTGTTAACTTTAGGTATCTTTGAGGTTGAAACCCAGGTGCTGCAGAGAAGAAAGACAGAAGCAGCTTCCCATGAGGCTACCATCTTAGACCTGGATTGGCTACTTCCAGTTTTCTTTTATGGAAGACAGAATTAATTCTTTCACATTTAAATCACTGTGATTTTGTTGTTTCCACCAAACACAGCTGAACTAATCCTGTCAGACTTATTACTTAAATGGAATTATGGAAAGATAGTTGGTTAGGGAACTAGCCAGGAAAGAAGAAAGTAGCTAACTTGCTCTGTGTTGGCTAATCTAGTAGGATTAGCCGAGTAAGTGGGTTGGGGCCACAAAGGTACTAGGAAGGAAAAGAAAGCATTTAGAGAGAGATACTGGTTTCAGGAAAGCACCTCACACTAGAAAAGAAACAAAAATCTGTCCCTGTCTCCATAAACGTCAAGTAACTCCCCACAGTTGAAAGGGGCTTTCCGCTGCCTGCAACAATGGCTCAGATTGGAAGGACCTATGGAGTTTCTCATATCCACTTACTTTAAGAGGTCACATCCTGAAGACAGGAAGAGAAAATGAGCTGACATCTATAGGGGAAGAAAGGAACTCGTCCTTGAAGGAGCATAATTTTAGGAGAATGAGTTAGTATAATGTATCTCCAGCCTGGGGGACAGTACTCACAATGTTACTGCCAGATCCACACTTCACACTCAACTCTGAACCCTTCATGGTCTTCCAGGTAGGAGGTCTGGGGAGATCCACAGCTAAGATCTGTAGAAACAATGGTGCCCATTTCATATTTCAAATCTGTCAACAAACCAAATTCAGATGTATTTTCCCAAGAGTGTTAAGAGTTCTAGCTTTCAAATGACACCAAGTACAATTAACAAAAAGAACTGTGGAAGGGGCTGTCTAGGAAGTTCCTTCTAGAGGGACAGTCTCAGCCAGCTAGTTGGGGTTCACAAGACCTTGCATTGCCTGTCTGTGCTTAGGTGTCTCTGGCAGATGATTTGTTGGCTTATAAAGCCAGGGATATTGACAGTGAGTTAAGTGCTGAAAAATGACAGAGGGTGCTAGGAATCAACCCAAGTTAGGACTTTAGGCATCCTTGAACTTGATAGGCTCCTGGAGAGAAACATAGGCCCTGGTTGAGGACTCAAAGGGACAAGGTTTTAGCAAGAGCTTCCTTATTCCTGCATAGCCTTGTCTCTCGTTGGTAACAGTTGATCTTAGACGTTGATCAGTTCTTCTGAGACTTTTGAAAGAAAGGCTTCATCTCAAAGCCTTTCTTGGGAACTGTTGCTATTAGTCATTTTTGCCATGTGAACTAGGAAAGTATAAAAACTGATTATCAGAACAAGAAAAGGTCATGCTCTTGGGTGTGTGTTAAAGTTACAAAAAGAATAATGGCAGACCCAAGAAACAGAACCAAGACTGAGTCTTGCAGGGAACCCGAGGGCCTTTGTTTTCTCTATCCATTTAGCCTGTAGAAGGCTGGATGGGCGGTATCTCTTTCTGAGCTATTTAGGAAGAGTTGGGGGCTTGTTTCTGATGGACACAGAGACTAGAGTGATGCATCTACAAGTCAAGGAGTATCAAGGATTGCTTGGAGCCACCAGAAGCTAGGAAGAGGCAAGGAAGGATTCTTCCGAGGGAGCATGGACCTGCCTACACCTTCGTTTCAGACTCTTAGCTTCCAGAACTGTGAGAGAATACATTTCAGAGGAGGATGTGGTGGGCATGGGGGCGCTCAGGCCTCCTACCCAACACACTCTTATTTCTGGATCACCAAGCCTTGGTGCTCAGATTTCATCATTTCTGGAGCACCCTTGCACTCACTTCCCTGTGCAGAATACCTTGGAATCTCGGATCACGTGGAACTTCAAGTACTCCTTTAGCTTTCCCTTATTCTCTTGGTTGAACAGGAAAGCCTGTTGTTGAGCAGGTAATGCTTGGAGAGCTTGGTTCGTGGGCCAGAAGAGAGTGATGGGGGTGTGGATGGGATCAGTGATGAGATCCAGCAGTCCTGCATCCTGAAACACAGGAAACATCCCAGCATGGTGCATGTGTTCACAGCCCAGCAGAGCCCTGATCCATGACGGTGCGGCTCTGAGGGCAAAGGAAGGTAGAGGTTTCCTCGGTGCCAGGCTAACTGGGAGTTAGGCTGCCGAGAAATGACATGGATGGAAACCAGACTCATCATATACCAGCCGTTCTGGCTCACATGCTCTGAGAATGAAAAGTGAGAGGCCAATTCTGGCTGTTTGTTAATGGGAAAATGAACTGCAGCAAAAAGCTTTTCTCTTTCACTACTCGTACTCAAATACCCAATTTTAATTTAGGGAGCTTAGTGGGAAATTGTGCTGCTAATTCAGGGGCCACACCTCTCTGATGGTTCAAATCCACCAGAGACTCCACAGGAGAGATGTAAACAATCTCTTTCCATGAGATTTGCCTCCTGGTAAACCTAATGGAGAGTCAGTTCTAACCTTACAGTAATGAGTGTGAGAGACCCAATATTTTAACTTTTATCTTTTATTTTATTTCTATTTTTATTTCTAGGTACTTAGTATTTTTCTCAAATTCCATACTAAAAAAGAAATTTGCATTTATACTTAAATTTATATTTTACTAATAAGATTCTTCATCATGCGTATCCCGCAAGAAATGGCCAGATGAATGAGAGCCTTTTCTAGCCCATGCATTTTGTATCAATTTATTTTCTTTAATCTTTCCAATAATCTTATTAGGTTGACCTGATTGTCAACGGTATTTAAAAACCTGGGACTCACAAAAATGTTCTAACTTTCTAAGAGATCTTGCATAGAACCAGATTCTAATGCTCAGGTATAGGCATAACTAGAAAGATTTGTGGTTGGGTGTCTGGGTAAAGATTATGAACATCTTGGCATCCCCATTTCTGAAATACTTCCTTCCTATGGATTCTGAGATTCAGACCATTTTGGGAACCATAAGTCAAATTCAAAAGAGTCCTGGCGATGTAATATGTTTGGTGTTGGACTGTTAACTGAAAGGTTAGTAGTTCAAGTCCACCAATTGCTCCATGGAAAGAAGTTGGGCGGTCTTATTCATGAAGATTTAATAGCCTCAGAAATTGGTGCACTGCCAGGAGTCAGAATAGACCCAATGGCAGTAGGTTTTTGCGGATTTTGTTGTTGTTGTTGTTCGGTTTAATGCAGAGAGTATAGATAGTGCTTTGGGGAACCCCAGAGTTGTTAAAACTCTTCAGAGACTTCGTGGTATTCTTCCAGAGGAGGAGAGGACCCTGAGCCTTGTCCTCCCTCATTCTCTCTGTAATCTGTTGTTGGGACAAGAAGTTTCTCAGTTTGTGGAAACAGTGTTTGAAGACACAATCTTTTTGAAGCTGTGCATCTTCACAGCTGTCTTGGTGGTTTGGTGGTTAAAGTAACAAAAAGATCAGGGCTTTGAACTTGCTAGCCACTTTTTACTGCTAACCAAAAGATACGTGGTTTGAACCCGCCAGTCACTTCTTACTTGTTATTGTAAAGATTTACAGCCTTGGAAACCCTATGGGGCAGTTCTACCCTGTCCTAGAGTGCTGCCAGGAGCCTGAACGGACTCAACGGAAGTAGAGTTTGGTTTCACGGGCATAGATTTCCTAGTGTGCTATCTCAGCTTCCCCATCTCTAGAATGGATCTGAAATTTCCTATTCTCAAACTCATTATAAAGAGGACTGAATTATAGAGGTAAAGTATCTGATACACAATGGCCACATTCGTTCTGTTCCTTGCTCCCAACCTAAACACTTCCAGTTCTCACTCTGCTAATGTACATGACCTACGTGAACAAATTGAGCAGGAGAGAATGATTTTTGCTTTCCAGAAACTTGAGAATCTCTCCTACAGATCCCACAAGAGCTGGCTGGTGCCAAAATTCCAACCCAACAACAACAATGAAATAACAAACCCACCTCCAAAATACAAAATCAAAATAAAATGGAAAACAATTTATGTCAACAATCCCCTGAGTTAACTTCCCCTCAGGAATTTTTGCTTTCTTACCTGTATTAAGTTGATAAACTTGCTGTAGCCATATTTTTCTGCCACCACTGTAATATTTTCCTGCAAAGATTAAGTATGAATGAGAATGAAACCTCTCCTCGTACAGTTCACGAAGCCCGTGAACAAAAAGGCTCAATTGAGTAAAGGAAAAAAAATACTCATGGTGGGTGGGTAGTGTGGAGTGGTTGATCATTAGTTCTCGCCCTATCTTTCTGCATTACAGGTGCTGAAAAGCTGAGCTCAACATTTTCCCAGACTCCCTTGCAGCTAGATTTCCACAGGTGATAGAGTAGAAGCAATAAGCAGAAGCACTTCGGAGAGACTTAGTGGTGGAAAGAAAGAACACGAGGTAGCAATGGCTGCAAGCAGGGAACTGAGACCTTCCAACAAGAACAATAGCAGTGGCATCTAGTGTCTAGCCTCTGTGTCCTAAATGGTGAGGCTAGAGGCAGATGTTCACGCGTTGAAAGCATCCCTGGGATTCCTTGTTCTCAGCAGTGCAGCATCTGAATTAAGCTCTGGTCTGCTAAGAGATTTTTGATACTGAATCTCCTTTTTCTTTAAACTAGGTGTAGGGAACTCTGTTGTTGGTATTGAAGAGATCTGACCAAACTAATCAATAACCATAAGAAGATAAATACTTATCTTCCTATTAATTGAGAAAGAGTTTTATTCTACGTTTAGTTTGAGCTTTATTTATATATTCATGACACTATAATATTCTTCCATCTCTTTCTGATTTTCTGTTTCTCTCCTCCATTTTTTGTAATGACCTCTTACTTTCTTCGTGGATGATATCCACAACTCATCTGGTCTTCTATCATTGGGGTTCAATGCCTCAAACCTATTTTCGAGAGGACCATGAAATTCAGATGGAATTGATTCAAGATCATATCTTGGTTCCTGTGCACTTATTTTAATTTCCCTCAGACTCAATTTGACCTTGCATATGAGTAATTGATGATCTGACCCACAGTCCGCCCCTGGCCTAGTTTTGACTGCTGATACTGAGCTTCTCCAACTATTCCTTTCACAAATGTGGTCAGTCCGATTCCTATGCAGCCCATCATGAAATTTTTTTCTTAAATTTTCCTCTTTTTTCCTTAAATTTTATACAACCTATGATTTATTCTTGCAAATACCTTTTTAAAATTTTATATTGTAGTTTATATAATTGATTACTAGTCTTCTATGCCTTCTCCCACTGGCTCTTCCAGTCCCCATTGCATATTCCCCATTCCTTCTCCCCGCGATCTGTCTACCAACCTCTGCGATCCTAGTGATTTCCCCTTTCTCTCCCTCTTTTCCCTTTCGCCTTCCCCCCTCAAATACCCACACACATCATGCTCAGTTATCTCCCTATTTTCACAATAGTGCTCTTATGCAGTGTTTGCTCTTTTGTTACTGAGTTATTTCTCTTGATGTAATGCTCTATAGATTCTTCCAAATTGTGAAGACCAGAAATTGCTGATATTTTAAAAGTATTTACAAAATTAGTTTAAGAAAAACAGGCGTTCACCTATTTTTTTCTTATTCAGAACAGGCTTTTGATACAGCTTGAGGCTGAAGCAACACAGTGAAGATGTGTAAATTAAGCCTCAAGATCAGAATTGAGATGGTAATACACTCTCTTCACTCCAGGAGGAGGACACAACAGTACGTTTACCCACCAGAATCTTTCTAAAGCCACTTCTAGGGTTGACAAGCAAGTTTTGGGGAGATAGCACTTGGTCTATGATGTGGATTATTCCGTTGGTAGTGATGATGTCACTGGATATGATCTTAGCCTTGCCATTTAAATATACTTCATCCTGGAACCAACCAAAAAAAGAAAAGAAAAAGAAAAGAAATTAACACAAAGATAAAGAGACACAGCGCTGCTTCTTCTAGGATGCTAGCCCAACACATTGAATGATCGGTTTTTAAGACATTTTAATTTAAATCTGTGGGTTTTCAGTAATTGACAACCATGAGGCAAGTAGTAACCAACTTCTATTTTAATTTAAAAAAATTACAGGAAAAAAAGAGAAAAGTGAACATTTAAGTAGACCTGTGTGCCAAATGCAAAGTAAGTACTTGAGCATCTTATTATTTTTTAAAAAAGAGACAAGGATAAAACATATCCAAGGAATGGATATATGGATCGATATATGAGAAAGCAAATACATTAAAACATGGGGACTGGGGAAAAAATGAGACAAGAGAATACTTTTTACATTCTTGTTTGGATTTACAAAGTAAGAGAGTTTACTATAAGTGATTAACTGAAGCAGTCATTTCACCATGATTCTCAAATGTGTAATTCATAAGCAGATTGGAATTAGCTTCTCTCTTTTTTTAAAAAAAAATTCAAATATTTATGCAGTGTCATTTAAATAGCTTAGATGGTTCTATAGACATCCCCGGAATTGAGTTTGCATACATTTCTTCAGTCAACAATCAATCTGAGTTGCCTGCATACACAAGGGACTGGGAGATGGAAGACACAATCCTGAAACCGGAACGACTTCATTTTCCAACTGACAGTGATGTTATAGAACTCTGGAGGCCAAGAGAGTAAGGAGTTTTACTACTAACCCAAAAGCAAGTTCTTTAAATCTACCAGTTGCTACTTGAGAGAAAGATTGGCTGGCTCCTTTTCAACATGTGTGTCTCTTCCACTTTTCCCTTGGCAATGAATTCTACTCCTGCTTTTTGTTTCTGGGACAGGACCAACATGGTCAAATGGCTTTAATCAAACACTTGCATCTCTCTCTAGCTTCTGACCCATAAATGGTACCTGGGTCCCCTATGCCTTTGTGGCCCTGGACAAGTTGTTGTGCTGTTGGGTGCTACTGCATTGACTATGACTTAGAGCGACCCTGTGAACAATGGATCTGAGCCTTGTCCTATTCTGTGGTCCCCTCTTCATCTCTGATGGGTTACTTGGTATTAACAATGGTATCTATATTATGGAGTTGTCTTAAGGATTAAATGAATTGGCACATCTCCAATACTTAGAACAGGTTGGCATATAGAAAGCACTCAATAAACACCTCTGGTGATGTGGTCTACAGGAATTTTAGCCGCTGACCTAAGGGTAATCCACCAATGGCTCCAGAGAAGAAGGATGGGAATCGCTTCTTGTGCAACTTAAAGCCTCTGAAAATCTGCTAGAGGGTCACCTCTGAGCCAGTTCTGATTTGATGGCAGTGAGACCACCATGAGACCATCATTAACACTGATTTTACTCTAAGGGAGATGGCATACCTTCCTAGCTGGCCTTGCTTACCTGAGAGACATAGATGGCAATGGACTCTCCTTGGAGGGAAGTTACATTTGGAGTCACCTTCAAGTTTTCCAGTAGCAACTGTTGGCAGCCAATCACATGGTATCGAAGAACCTGGGCCATTACACCGTCCTTGTCCCAGACTTGGAGCTACAATAGACCAAAGGTTCCAGGAAGTGCCTGGAGCTTTTTCTTTTCTTTCTTTTTTTTTTTTATAAATAAAAAAAAAATACATTTTTGTTTTATATTGATTTGCTTAAAAAGTTCATGCACGTTGTGTTTCACACTATCCTTCATTCACATTGTGTTTCATATAATCATCCCCATATTTTATAAAATTAATCAACATTGAACTACACCCACCAGTGTCCTGTCTTTTCAGATACCCGCTGGATCTTTCCCATTTCATTTAACCACCCCTCCCTCTACTCAGCAAACTGTGCAACCCTATGATTTCCCCCCTGCCTGTCCTTGCCTTCTGCTCTTCCCCTCCTCCTCTTGGATCCCCATACACATTTTTAGTTAACTTTCTATTTCTACAATAGTGGTCTTATACAGCATTTGTTTTTGTGAGATTGAGTTAGTTCACACAGCATAATGTTCTCCAGTCCCTCCCAAGTTATGTAGTAATTTTTAAGCCACTGCTAATCAGTGCTGCATAGTATTCCATTGTGTGTATGTGCCACAATTTGACAATCCATTTGATTGTGGTTGGACATCTGGGCTGTTTCCATGTCCTTGTGATGGTAAATAATGTTGCTATAAATATTGATATACAAATATGTCTCAGTTCCAATTTTCTTGGAGTATATTGTAAGCAGTGGAATAGCTGGGTCATATGGAATTTCTGTTTAGCTTTTTAAGGGAGCACCAAACTGCCTTCCAGAGTGGTTGTACTATTTTACAATCCCACAACAGTGTATGAGAGTTCCTATCTCTCTGCCTCCTCTCCAACATTTATAGCTTTCTGTCCTGTTACACTTTGCCACTGCTTCTGGGATGAGATGGTTTCTCATTGTGGTTTTGATTGGCATCTGTTACTGTGTCTGGAGCTTCTCCCTGCCTTTGCACTTATTTTCTTCCATATTCTCCCCTACATCTCTCTCCCTGCCTAGACCTGTGAGGTGGAAGCTCAGGGCTGACATGTGGTCAGGGTTACATGCTTGAGGCTGTGCAGGCACAAGAGAGAAAGGAGCCCTGGTTCCTTTCTTTCTTCTGATGTAGAAGTTCAGAGTGGGGGCAACTTGGAGTTATCTGGTCCAGAATACCCCAGCACATCTTCTAAGGACACAAATCCTTGGCGATGGCCACTGAGAAGAAAGTTTCTTTTGTGACATGTGCTGACTCACAGTCACAGTCCATCCTGAAGAGGTGCCAGGGTCAGACTAAAGGCATTGTGTCTGGATAAGAGCACAGTCCTTCTCTAGTTGTTGAGCAAATGACAAACAGTATTAGGAAAGCAGTGTGACAAAAGTCTATTGAGTTTTCAGTTTCCTCATAATTCTACTGATGTTTTCTTTTTTAAAACTATGAAGTTATTATTTTTTTTTAAACACCCTATTTTCAGGTGTTACTTTAGCTAGTGTTCAAAAGATATGCCCTGAAGGGGAGGCACAGGCTGTGGTTAAGAATATTTCTGGACAATGAATGGATGGAAATCCAAAATATCTGTAAATGTTCATTAAAATGATTAAAATAAAATTTAAAAAAAAAGAATATTTCTGGAACTAAGTTTGAGTCCTGTTTCTACCACTTCATATGATGTGACCTTGGGAAAGTGATTTCCCTCAATGTTATCAACAATAAAATAGGAATAATGACCACCTTTACCTTATAGGGTTGTCAGGGGGACTAAATGGATTAATATAAGCCAGTTATTCAGAACAGTAGCTGGCATACTTAATGAGCATTAGCTATTGTTGTTATTATTATTAATATACAGTCTAGTATGAAATGACTCAGTGCATGCTAGAATAGTAAAGGCTCTGTAAAGTCCTGTATAAAATAGATTTAAAACTCTTTAATCCAGTTTTCTGTCTCTCTTTCTCTTTCTTTTATGTCTATGAGAACTTTGGATCATTTGAAAAGTACTGTATCCAATCCCCTACCCCATTGAGAAATGTTCTCTAGAATGTCTCTGGCCAGTGATTACCCTAAATCTACTTGGATGCTCCTCCTGACAGGGAGTCCCTATGCCCAGAAACAGCCCCTTTTATTGATGGTTAGCTCCAGCGTGAGTTCCATGATGAAGCTAAAAAACTGTGTTCCAGTTCCAAACCTCCTCCACTTCCCACTGTCATATACTTACCTGGGTTTCCTCATTAAAGGCTGCTGATAAAGGCACGAAGACGGTGAAGGAGCCTTTGTTAGCCACATCTCTCACAGCGTGCTCCTGAGGGAAGGCAGATGAAGGGCCCCACGTTACTTATTTATCATAAATACAGAAACAAAAAAACCAAACCCACTCCTGGCCAACTCACTGTGACCCATAGCTCAGAGTAGAGTTACCACATAGGTTTTCCAAAGCTGTAAATCTTTATGGAAGTTGACTGAACTCAAGCATATCAGTTATTATGAGGATGACACAGGACAGTTCAAGGCTAAGAGTCATTGTTCAACAGATG